CGTGTAAATGTAATTATATTAGTTGGGGAAAGAAGGCGAGGCCGTGGATTTGTTCTTGTACATAGGCCTTCTGGGTGGAAAGCTGGGGGGATGGAGATGCAATGCTGTGGCAAACGTCAGTGTACATTGTCATTGTCGACAGCAACTGAAAATATTATTTGTACACGGTACTCGTTCTAAGTTTGTTTTGGTCTCTACTACTGTAAAGGTATTGTGTCTTAGTCTCTTAGAGGCTAGAACTCATCTTCATCTTCATCCTCTTCCTATTCGATTTTGTTTTGCCCGTCAAACTGCAAGTAGATTTCCCCGTCTTTCGATTTCATTGAAGTTGCTAAAACTCATCACCGAGTTGCACTGTTTCCTTACAACTGGATACTAGATTCTTATTTTCTCCGAAACGTTGATGCTGTAGAGTTGCGTTCTAGCTTCTAGTCGAGAAGTTGGAATAAGCAACTGTTTCTTGAAAGACTGACTAATATTGTAAGCCAGCAGGCTATACTTGACGTCAAAAGAATAGCGAGCAGCAAAGAGATGAGAACACAGCACAAAGTATATATTACAGCTTCCTTCAGGGTACAATCTGGGATCACAGTACAGGAAGTATAAACCAAAGCAGCATGCAAAGCCAGGAAGAAGATATTACACAGCACCAGGGAAATGTTTATGACGAAAGTTCAGCCCCCCCGGCTCCTAAGGTGATCGAACGATCACCACTCTGCATTGCGCGCCTTTTTGTACAAGAATACAACTCCCTAAACCAAAATCAGGGTTCTTGAACATTCTTAATTTAACAACACACAGGATTCCAAGTTTTTTTTTTTTTAATCTCAAGCAGTAGGAGACGAGTTCTTCTTAATCAGCGCATATGCATCACTGTATATTGCCACTCCATTCGACAGCACTGCCAGCACAATCATGAACACACACAGCATCTTGTCCTTTGACGTTGCTATATAATGCCGGTCCCTGAAACTCGGCAGCCAATTCCATGTCAGACAATCATTGACGTATATTAATTAAGTACAAAGGAAATCAGTTGATAGGAGCTCACCTGAGAGTAATGGAAGCTGGAAAAATGAACCCAAGGCAAACAGCAGCTGTAGCTCCAGTGAACTGGAAAGCATCCCAGATGCTCGGGATGAAATTTGCACCCAAGAAGATGACCGAGATGAGAGCAATGGTGAGAGATGCAAAGCGGACATTATCCTGGTTCAAAGGCCTCGAAGAGGGGAACAGGAGGCCATCCAAGTTGAGCCTTAGCGGATGGAAGACAATTGGAAACACAAGCATCAAATGAGCGGCATAACTGACACGAACAGCATCATTCAAAAATGAGCTATAAGGAATGCCGAGGTCAGTGTTGAAGTTGGCCAGCACATCGTCCATCGTCGAATCACCGAATAGAAGGAAGCCGAAAATGCTCGTCATAACGTATACGGATGAACATAGGGCGAGTGATGTTCGCACCACTGGCTTTATCTGAGTCGAATCCTCAAGCTCATTGTCTATGCTGTGAACTGGCAAACAGAGAATTCGAAATCAGTACCTGTAGTAGATTACGTGTGTTTGTTGGAATGAAAGCTCAAACAAACATACATTTAAAATCTAACCAGCCATTCACACTAAACCCACCGTAATCCCAGAAAATACTTAAATCTGAAAGTCGCAACAGTATTGAACTTCCATTACTAACTTTTATCTTTGACATAAGAATGATCTATTCAAAAGATTACACTTCATAATAGTCACTACGCAAACTACATGTCATCGCATCATTCACTTTGTACTACTAATAAAAATTGCATATACCATATCCTCTCTAGAGCATTACCAGACACTTTATATTTTTCAATAACAAACACAACCATTGTACTTGTTTCTCCAGAAGGTATTAAGTCCAAGCTGGGTGCTTCAGAAATAGTAAACACAGGATGTAAACTTTACTACATCCCAAAGGCAATACTAAGCTCGGAATTTCAAGCCAAGGTATCATAAGAGGATAATTCTTCATGCTGGTTGCAGAGAAACCAAGAAATGTTATAAAAAAACGGAAGACACCCAGAACACCATTTACTAGTTATGGAGAATTGGATGCCGCAATGCCCTTGGTTTAGCATCAGAGTAACAAGGCCCACATATATAGTCTGAAAATTAGAATTAGAATTTGGCATACCGTTGTAGTGGCAAATGTATGCAGTGACAAGAACAGGAACAACTGTGAAAAGGTTCCAGAATGAAGCCATATTTGTGACATCAGGGAGCAATCTGGGCATCATTATGCTTCCATTTATCAACTTAACAATTGTAATCCCCATGGTGATGACAATGAATAATACTGCAAGCGCAACTGAGAGAGCTGATGTATAGCTTAAAGAGTCTGCAAAAACAAGCAAGCCACAGCCAACACAACAAGAAGCATGAGAAGCGAAATAAATTTGAAACTCTAAATTGGTACCACAAGCTAAAATTGTACATATGAAGTCTGTGTAACAAATTCCCTTAGTATTCACTGTGGAAGCATGGAAACTACTCAGATGTGACACAGCAAAAAGGAGAAAGAGGAACCTATATTCCAGTATTGACATGAACAATTACTGATTCCGTATTGAAAGTGAGTTATCGAGTGATCTGTTGAGGTGGCTATGCAACTAGAGTTCAATTTCCAGAAATCATTTTGAAATAGTCGTATCATCACAAAGACTATGTTTTTAAATTACAGGCAGAGCAAAATGAACTCAACGGGTAAAAAAGAAAATGAAAATAACAATCAACTAGCATGTTTTATGTCTACTATTACTAAAAACCGAACCAAACACTTACCAAGTCGTTTCAGACAGGCCAAGGGAGAAAATATGCCCAATGTAGTGATGAGTAGAACAGCAGTGCGTCCATTCCACAAATGTACTCCAAACCACCCTTCAAGAACACCCGGGTGATGAATCCCATCAGCAGTTGTTCCAGACAGCACATCACCTTCGCATAAGGATAAGTAGGTATACAATTGAGTCAAATGTTTTCAACCACAAGAACATATAGAGAAATTAAACAATATATTAAGGAAAATTAACAAAGGTGAAGCCAGGCATACCGATGATTATCATGTATACAATGAGTACACCTATGTTGTTGATCATGACAGCAACTTGTAACAAATTTTTCCCAACTTTCCCAAAGGCATCCCCCATAAGTCCACCATAAGATGAACTCTTGGATACCCGGCTAAACCTAAGCAACAATTCAATTGACGCCTCTGTCAAGAACGCCATAAAGATGATCATGGCAACCCCAAGTACAAGCCCCAACACCTTCATGGTGGCGGGCAGAGCCATGATCCCGGCACCAACAATGGTAGTTGACAAATTGAACACAGCCCCTGGGAAAGAAGCTCCATTGAACTCATCAAAACCACCATCCTCACCATGCGTTTTAGGAAGCAAGGGAGCATTCTCATCAACTTGCTTCCCCTTTTTACTAGATTTCCTTTCTTTCTTGGGAGCTGTATTGTTCCCAATCGTCATCTTTCTTATCTCTTATACTACGGATTCGAAACTTCTGAATTTTGACAAAGGCTCAGCCTTTCAGACGAAACAAGAGAAAACTCACCAAAATCAGCTTCAAAATTCTGGAACTTTTTAGGGTTTAGCAGTGAATTTCAACTGGGAAATGACGAAATGATATTGAAATAGAGGCAAACCTGCAAGATATATGAAAACAATTGCAGGCAAGCACGATTGTTGGAACCTAGAACACGACTTCTATAACGAATAAGATGAATACCCCAAAAAGAAATTATCCAAAACCGGATAATTGAATCGCTACACGCAACAGATTTTGACCTATTCCGAATAAGAGAAACAAGCTACCCAATCAAAAAGCTATAAACACATACACAATCCCAGAAAGCAAGCTCTCGAAATCAAACCAAGTCAGACCCAGAATCAGAAATGGGGAAATGATCAAACTTGAGAGCAACCCTATATTTAGGAAAGCAGGATATTCACCGGATTCCGAGTTATCAAGATATTTTTTTTGGGTGACTGGGCTGATTTATCTAGTTGCTACTGAATTTCGGCTTATATAGCCCAAGGAGAGAGAGATGCACACGGAAGCGAAGGCAGAAGAAGAAAGTCTTTTGTGTACAGTTCCAGGGATGGCCTACGAAATGCGAATTGACAATTCGGCGTCTGGTCGCCACATGAATTGTTTAATCTATAGAAATCGATAGTAGGTGCAGGCGGGGAGCCGGGGATAAAACCATCAAGGGAAATGAAGGGGGAAGCTTTTGTTTCCTCTGCTAGTAGTGTTTAGCGAGGTGGGTGTGAGTGGAAAGATGATGATGATGATGAACGCCGAGAGCGATGAATGAATGAGCAAGGGGCAAGGACAGGGAATTCTCGGAATCGGATGAGCTAATCAGCCTACTAGCTGTTGTTAATCATGGAGGCGTGTTTTGGTTTGTCATTTACTTAATTAATTTAAGTTTAATGTGTGGTGTTTGTTAAGTATTGTTTTGGGGCTAATCAAAGGTCCTGTGATATAAAAATTGTGAACTCATTGATAAAATAATATTTTCTAAACTCGTTAGTCACATGAGAGTACCTCTACTATTGTAATTAAATGAACAAACTAACCAAGACAATGTAAAAATAATTTTCAGTTTTTCACAGAAGGGGTATTTTACTCGAAGGATTTGAATTAATCCCTCTGATTGTATTTTGCCAAAGATGAAAGAAAAAAAAAGGGAATCTGTCTTTTCATAGTTAACGTCAATTGTGTTATTTGTATTGGATGAATTATTGTGTATTTTTTGTTGAATGTATGGAAATTCCTCAAAATTACAATAGATTAACATAAAACTTGCATATATGTTTAAGGGAACAAAATTCACTTCACACAGAAAGCTATCTTAGATCTCTAGATTCAAGTTATATAGAAGAAAAAATCTCCGAATTCACCGAATATGGATCGAAATACGCAGGGTTTATGAACGAATTGGGGCAACGAAAGCCCGCAAAAAGTTTAGGTTGGGTTCCAGCTCCATTGCGGCCGGCATCCTGCTCTTGAGGGAGTGGAGTCCTGGAGCGAACTACCCACATTCGCTTACAAACGAGTTTATTTCGTTTAAACCTTGCATTCAAATTCCCCGCTACTTTAAACGAGGGATTTTGGTCAAACCTGTCGTATAAAAAATCTTATTCCTAATCCAAACAACCCACAAGGGTTTGTTATTTGTGGGAGTGAAACCTAAACAGCTTGGAAATGGAATTACAAAGCACCTGATGCTGCAGATATAACATGTGAAAACAAGCATTAAACAACTACTCATTATTACATAACCAACTATATAATGTATGTAGGAAGGTTTGAAAGAGTAGAGCTTCAAAACAACCCCCATGATCAAGTAGCTAGGCAAACCCTAGAACCCCATTCGGCAAACCCTCTTGCACTTTTTATTGAGGAAAGATTATTCAGCAGAACAAGCGACGACGACGGGCGCCCCCAATGGTAATGGTAGCTAGATCGATGCATCTAATTAAGTTGAGGAAGATGCAGGGGGGAAATAGCTAGCTAGCTTAGTTGGGAGTTTGGATGAGGAAAGCCATGCACTGGACCTGTTGAATGTTGTCGAATGCGAGGCAGCGAATGTAAGCATTCGGGTACGTCTGCTTGCATTGCTCGATCTCGTTCAGCACCTGGGACGAATCGTTGCAACCGAACATCGGCAGCTTCCACAGAGTCCAGTACCTGCCGTCGTAGTACCCTGGCATCCTGCTGTTCTCCCTGTACACATATCCCACCTGCAAGCAACCCACACATTCATTACCAATCACGATATTATCGATCGATACCTTCTTCCAGTTTTTCAATTAGTAATGTATCGTAGGACATTGATTCCAATTCTGTGGTAAAGGCAACTCTGATGCAAAGACTTTTAACTTTATTGTTTAATTAAAACCTAAGTGAGGAGATAACAACAAAGGGGCGGTGGCGCAGTTGGTTAGCGCGTAGGTCTCATAGCTACTGAGTGATCCTGAGGTCGAGAGTTCGAGCCTCTCTCGCCCCACAACATTTTTTCCCCCCCTGTTTTTTCCCCCCCTGTTTTCTCCTCTTTCAAAAATTTAGGGGCTTGTTTGATATATGGATCATTAAGATTAAAGGTGGCAATTGTTCCCCCTGTTTTCTCCTCTTTAAAAATTTAGGGGCTTGTTTGATATATGGATCATTAAGATTAAAGGGGGCAATTGGATTGATATATGGATCATTAAGATTAAAGGTGGCAATTGTTCCCCCTGTTTTCTCCTCTTTAAAAATTTAGGGGCTTGTTTGATATATGGATCATTAAGATTAAAGGGGGCAATTGGATTGGTGAATCCATGGATCCAATGGTAGATTCATTGATTGGATCCAATAACATCCAAAGCTTGGACCAAAATGTAAATTTTGAAAAATTTTGATACTAAAATGCCATTATGAAAAATTTTAGGTACCAAAATGTAATTTTCCAATGATATTTTGTGTATAAATTTTAGGTACTAAAATGTAAAATATAAAAATATAGGTACCAAATTGTAATTTGCCATTTAGATTCATGGATAATCCAATTGAATTTGGATCAAATGGATTAAATTTAAATGGATTGGATTCGATGGATGGATTGGATTTACGAATTTGGATCTTAATTGCCACCTCAATCTCCTAATTAAGATTGAGATGATTTTGATTAGTGAATTGGTCTTTCAAATATCAAAAACACAATTCACTAATCAACAAAAACGGTTCAATCGATAGTATTTTCAAATTACACCACCCACAATCTCTAATAAAAAACCATCACCAAACCCCCCCCCCCCCCCCCCTAACTAATTGCGAATTTTTTTGTGGCGTAATGATTAAATAAATAAGTTACCTCGTCAAATTCAAGGCAAGGAATCCAGCCCTTCTTGATCATGTAATCGATCTCCTTGGCGACGGAGTCCTGTGACAGCGGAGGAAGGTAAGACAGCGTCTCGAACTTCTTGTTGTCGATCGGGTTCCACGTCCTCATACAGCAAACCTTCGAACCGTTCGACACGGTACTACTAGCAGCCTTCCTCCTCCACGCCGCAACATCGTATAACTGCTTCGTAGCCGGCGACGAGTTATGTTTCAGGCCGTGGAACCCGGCGAACACGCCAACCGACATCCCTGCCGCCGATGACATCCTTCCTTTACTTCCTTTACTTCCCTAGCTAGGGAGATCGTGATGGATTTTTGAGAAGTGGGTTTAGAATTTTAGATGGGAGATGGAGAGCTAGTAATGGTGATGAATTGATGATATTTGCATGCGCCGTGAGCCAGCGTTGGAGTTTGTGAAGCGATGATGATGATGATGGTGGGTGTGCGGTTGGTGTGTGAACGCTTTTACTAGGAAGACGACACTTGGTTTAAGGAGATGGTGACGGCAGGATTATGGTGAGGTGACAATTCTTTTGGTTATTTGCTTCGGTTGCTCCGTCGTCACTATGGAGAGCATCTCGATGATCCAAACGAGTCTGTTCTTTCTATCCGTTCTGGCCAGGCCCAATTGTCGGCCCTCTGAAGTAGGCCTGCTTTGTGGGGGTCAGCCCAGTTGCTATAACAGGCCGAAGTTTCTGATCCACTTTGGGTTCTCATTCTAATTACTTTTTTTTCCCCCGGATTTCCTTCCTTGGACAATGATGGCGCGTTCAACATCCCAGCTCAGCTTGCAGTCAGTGGTGTACTTCGAAAGGGAACTAGCTAACTGTTTTATTGTAATTTTTATATATTGGTAATTAGGGGTAGTTTAGTCATTTTGATAGGGGTGGGCAATGGGTAGGGCTGGGAAAATAGACCAGACCGTTAGAAAAACCGTGGTCCAAACCGTACCGCACAGTTTGGTCTGGACCGTAGACCGTGAAGTATGGTCTGGTCTGGTCCATGGTCTGTATTATTTTATGATTTGATCTCTTGGTCTGGTCTAGACCGCGGTTTACCGGACCAAACCGTAGACCCAACTGACTTATCAATACGTGTTAACAGCCCATTCGACCACTCTCCAAACTCCCACAACGACACCCAAGTCTCAACCTTAATTTTGTGAATCTCTTCCCTCCTTCATTCACAACCACATTTAACCACAGAGTAGAGATAATCGTGTCTCCGTATGACATTATGTTAATGTTTATGACATTATGGTGCAAGCTGGGATGCTTTTACTTCGTATCTTTGTTATGTACTAAGATTTAGAGTATCAAAATTATTCATGCATGTTAGGATTAATGTTTTAAGGCAAATAACAATTATTTTTCTTGGTTATTGGTTCAATTTTTTGTGTGGTTAACTAAACAAATTATTCATTTTTCGTTGAGTGTGGTCTACCTGGACCAGACCAGACCGAACCAGACCGCATAGGCGTGGTCTGGACCAGACCGTATAGTCTATGGTCTGGTCTGTGGTCTATACTTTAACCTCTCGGTCTGGACCGTAGACCGTATATATGGTCTGGTCTGGACCAGACCGCACCGTTTTCCAGCCCTAGCAATGGGCGGGTTGGGTACATTTTGGTCTCAAATTTACCCACCCGCTTACTAGCGAGTTGGAATAATTGTGACTCGCAATCCACTCACATACCTATGCGGGTTGGGTTGGGTGGGTGGCGATGGGTGCAGTTAGGTCGTGAGTCAACCCGCAAAAACAATTCTCCAACTCGCTATTAAAAAAGTTTACTAACATTTATAATAAGTTCTTAGCAAATTAGTAAGACTGTATCAATAATTTGTGATTTTGATACAATTAATAATTTATAGTTTGCATCCCAAATTTTTTATTGATATTAACAATAATTTGCATACCAATATCCAATATCTAATAGATATTGCACAACACAAAACCAATAATAGTAGTCAAAACTATTCTTTATTCTCCAACTTTTGAAGTATATGGTCAGATTGTAGTGTAGTTCGAAAATATGACGAATATTCTATACTATAAAAAACAACATTTTTTCATGTAAAATAGGATGCGGGTTCATACGGGTGACCCGCAATCCACTCACCACCCACCCACATAAGTGTCGGTGGAAGATTTATCAATCCGCAATCCACCCACATCAATCACCCATTGCGTACGGGTCGGGTTATTTGTGGATGCATCGATATCAATCCGCGGATTAACCACCCACATGCCCACCCCCTACATTTTGAGCAGATTTAACGGTTTTTGCCACTTTTTGGAAGAAAAAACTAACAAATGACATCTTTGAAAATTTATTATAGTAGAGCCACAAGTTTGATATAAAATATAGTATGTTTGAGAAAAACACATAGTAAAAAGGTAAAATATGTCATATTAACCCTATAGACTATTGTTTATAGGATACTGGCTTTTGGGACAAGGGAGTTTACATGCAGCAGTAGCTACTTGGTGGAGACCTCTTTGGTTGAACAGACACGTACAACAACATTTATTGAATAATTAGAGAAGGTTTATAAGGATTACAAAATAGAAACATGAGAGTGACCACTATGTGATATGATAACCACCATTCATTCGTTCGTTCCTCCAATCTCACAAAGTGTTTCCAGGGATATTCGGCAGCAGCGATGGTCTTTATTTCTTCTGCCCGTCCCCTTTTTTTCTCCCCAATTTCAACTAAAAACTTGGCTGATCAGGATGAGTAGAGAGGCTCTGGATCCACTTTCCTTCTAATCCTGTACAGAAATAAACAAACATTGTCAATGAAACGAATTAGGAATCCGATCGATACACCATAATGTGTAGCAAGTCTATTCGATCTGCAGGAAGCTCGACGGAATATGAAATGATGCATTACCAATTGTCAGGCGACCATTTGCAACCAACAGTGTCCACAATGTGCGCGCTGAAAGCATGCCTCGAGTTTGGAGACTGGTTCTCGAAACTTCGAAAAGAGCAATGAAACATAGAATCGAAATCATGCTTAATTATATACCATCCCATACATAATATAATATAATTTACTAACAAGTTCAGAAATGTTGTGGATTAATTTACCTTCGATGTACGAGATCCCCATGAATCAAGACCAAAGACCCGGCTTTCGCTTCAATAGCCACGAAATCCGACTGCTCATAAGAAGGCGACGACTGATCAAAATGGAGACCTTGCTCCCCTCGAATCAGCCTTCTCACCAGCCCATCTACAGAAAAAAACACCCTCAAATCATTACCATAAACATACTCGAATTCTTAATGACATTTCACCCCGTTTGTACCAACTGGCTAGCGGACGAGAGCAACAACCAAAGGAAATTAGATGAGTACTTCGATGAGATCCAGGAATCGCCCACATGCACCCATTAGCAGTCGTAGCGTCTTCCAGCGCCAGCCACAGACCAGTGCAAGTGGTTTTCGGTTCGGTGTACAGAGTCGAGTTATCCTGGTGAGGCGCCACATCGTTTCCAAAGCCCGATTGCTGAAAAAACAGAATAAACTACAATTTAACAATGGAAATCATCATTGAATCGATTGATCCCAATAACTCGAGTTGTTGGAAGCGATTCAATCGTGGATCATATATCATTCACTAACACCTCCCCTCAAATGATAGCCGGTCACCTCATAAGGGCTTTCGTTTGTGATAGTCTATCACCTCATAAGGGCTTTCGTTTGCACAGGTCTAAATACACGATACCATGTGCTTCACAAACGGGAGTCACCGGGATTCGAACACAAGACCTTTCGATCGCATAAGGCTCTGATATCATGTCAAGAACCAATTGATCCAAATAACTCGAATTATTGGAAGAGATTCAATCGTGGATCATATATCATTAGGTGTTACCTTAAAAATATAAACCGACTGAATGATGACTGGCCTCTTGTAGCCCAAGGACTGTAACACACTTGAAAATTTCTCAGAACGGGAGTAGTCTTTGAATACAGGGTCGAGCTCATGCAAGGCTGTAATAGACATTGCAATGTTTTAGGGAATGGACAAAAGTAATGCTAAAAATCACGGTATTTCAGCTGCTGCCTTAATTTACCATGGCCAACTTTACTCATGGACACTTCCTTTGGCTGCTTTAAGTTCCCTTCCTCATCAAACGCTTTCTCTGTAACCCGTCAATCAGAAATATTAGGCATCACAAATCCAAAATGTTGGTATCAGAGTAATATATATATGTATCTACCTTCAAAGAAGAAAGAGATCTTCTCGGCGCTCTCGTACATGAACTCGTTCATTTCCTTTTGCTGGACAAACACATCCAAAAAAAAACCCCTCCATATGGCTGTTGTTAGACATAATTTTCACAGAGTTGGAACAAAACAGAGTCGAGAGAAAGAGGGAGATGAACCGAACCTGATTCATGGCAGAGGAGCCGTCGAAGTCGTGAAGCAACTGGTCCATTCGCTTCCTCATGCCGTCAATCTCGGCCGAGCTCGCGAACGATTCGACTACGAGGTAACCTTGCGAAGCGAACAAGCTGAGCTGGTCGGCGGAGAGAGGTCCCATGGCGGCGGTGATTGGTGACGGCGAGGAGCAGTCGGGAAGCCAAAAAACAGAGGAAGAGAAGCGAGTAGAAGATGGGGAAAGAGATTTTGTGGATTATGATTAGTGGGGAAATGAAGGATTTATATATAGTTGGTTTTCTGATTCCGGAAGTCCGAAAAGAAATGGAGATTGCCGTCCGGACAGGATCAAACTAACAGCCGAAACAGAGCCTTTTTGTTTGTTTTTTTTTTAATGGGATTGTTCAGAAGGAACCCGGATTGCCGGATCGGGCAATGTTATTAACGAAAGCGAGCCACTTTTAATTTGATTTGATTTTTTTTTATAATGGCGAAATAGTTTTATTAAAAAGGAAAATTACAACGAAACAAATCCAGCAGCAAGCAGCTGAAGAAAGAATCGGCCGAAACAAAACAGCTCAATATCCAAAACCCAACCCCTTCCCAGAACATCAAAACACTGTTTGTTAGAGTCCAATCAATGAGGATAATTTTTCTAATTAATAATTAAATTTTGGGGTTGATTGATTGCTGTCATTTTCTGTTTTTTTTATTAGTGTTAATACTTAATACTTTTTTTTGAATACTTAATAGTTAATACCTTATTTTCATATTTTGGTATGAATCATACTCAAACTTGCACTTTTAGTACGTGATTTCTGAAATTACTCTCCTAATCCGAACTATGCACCATACTTTCTTACTTGACTCTGAGCGAATTTTACCGTTAAATTGGATGATCAATTTCATTGACCGTTAGTCAAGCGTCAGGTCACTTGCCATGTGAGCGAACCCGAAATAAAATTTTTGAATTTTGAATTAATGTAATTATTTTCGTTATTCAATATTTTGAATTATTTATTTTCGCTAATTGTTATTGGTTTTATTTCGAGATCGCTGTTATAACAAGTCACAAGTGACCGAGCATATCACATTAGTCGTGACAGTGACAGTGACAGATTAAGTCACATGAGAATTGAGATTGCCTTAGATGTATCTCCAAGGTGTAACCATTTTCGTCTAGTATTTCATATTAAAATTTCAAAACCTCACATTTATGCATTCAAAACTAGACATGAATACCATGCTTAGAAGAATCAAGCATGTCATGAGCACCTTAGGGTAGATTAGAGAGAATATTTGCAATATTGGAAGATAATAAGAGCATGCTAATGTTGTATAAATTTCTTTAGATTTAAAGAGTTTCAACATTTTACATTAATTGTTTCATAAAAGATTTAGATTTCACTACAAAGCACGAGATAATAGTAATTACATAAGTCTAAAACTCATAATTTTTCCGCAGCAGAGCACGGATCAAATAACTAGTAGTGAACTTTAATGTTCACATGGTTTAGCAGTCTTTGGTAGTTTAGGTGCATTACTGGAGCACCAGCTAGCCACATTACCAGCAAAAAGAGACCAAACACTTAAATCATACACTGATACACATACCAAACCCTAGATCACAGCTCCCATTATTGATTTAACATCAGGCCACAAGCTTTAAGGACGGAGATGAATTAACCAGAGATCTCGATCGCCTTGACGTCGGGCTTCTTGACCTCGGCCTTGGGCACCGTCACCGTCAGCACACCGTTCTCCATCCCGGCTTTGATCTCATCCATCTTCGCGTTCTCCGGCAGCCGGAACCTCCTCACGAACTTCCCGCTGCTCCTCTCCACGCGGTGCCACGTGTCGTCCTTGTCCTCCTTCTCCACGCGCCTCTCCCCGCTGATCTGCAGCACCCTGTCGTCCTCCACCTCCACCTTCACCTCCTCCTTCTTCAGCCCCGGCAGGTCCGCCTTGAATACGTGCGCCTCCGGCGTCTCCTTCCAGTCGATCCTCGTGTTCACGAACGCGGTGTTCTCCCCGCCGCCGCCGGGGATCAGAGCCGCCGACGAGGGGAAGTTGATCTGGAAGTCCCTGAAGGGATCGAAGGCGTCCAGGGCAGAGAATGGATCCCACGCGCCGCTGCTGCTGCGGCCGCGGCGGTTTCCGAAGAAGCTTGGAATCAGCGACATTTTGATTTTTGTAAGACTGGGGAAGTAAGCAGATTTGCTTGCTTGATTGAATTGCTCGAACTGATTGCTCTCTCAAATTGATTTGCTGAATTCGATTGTGGGTAATTGAAAGGGGGGCTACTGCTATTTATATAAACGCAGAGGGAAAGGCGTCGTTGGTCCAGTGACTTCTGGTGTCTTCTTTTCTTTTCTTCTCCAGGGAGGATCTGAAGATCAATCAATGGAGAAAGTTCTCGTCGTCTCTGATCGGGCTGTTTGATCTGGAGTCGAGATGTTTCTAGGGGATTCTAGACTCGCTTTGGGCTTTCGAGAGATATTATGTAATGGGCTCGAGTGAAGAATAATTCGTTGGTGGGCTGGATCGGATCCGGAATTTTCATCACGTTCTGCGTTCAGCCCACGAATGCATCTCAGTTATCTTCTCCGAAGTTCAGTTCTCCTTATCGACTACGGATTTTCATGTCCACCCTCCTTAAACTGAAAAACCGTTTATCTCCTTAATCCATCGCACTTGGGACTGCCCTTTCCAGTTTCCACCATTCTCGTAGGGGGGAAATCAGGTGGCAAATACAATTTACGTTAACAACTACGCACTGTCATTTCATATCACGTCGATGTTTTTATCAACCAAAATCGAAACGTGATATATGTCGGACTTTGAGTGTCAAGTCTTGTTATGTTATTTGGAGTTCAGGTGTATCAAGAAGACTAACGTCGTCACATTACTGCTAAAAATATTAGGATTAGTATTGTTTAGCACAATTTATGATTACATTGATGAAAATCCAAATAACAATCTATTACAATTGCAGAGACAGCTTACAAGTTCACAAAAAAAAATTACATTCTTAATGCCTCGAATGCGCACCGGATCTTTTGTTTTGGTCAAGCTGAAGAAGATCTGGAATCGAGCCACGTCATGATATCAACAAACACGGCGAAGATCCTATCATCGGGTTCCCCTTCAAGAATGGAGTGAAACCCACCTTCATAGAGCTTCAGCGTCTTGTCCTCGCTGGCTGCATTCTCGTACAGAAACTGGCTAACAGTTGGATCCGTGACTTTATCGGCAGCGCCATGTAGAATCAGCAATGGAGCCGAAACCTGTAAACCACACTCAACAATAGAACTCCACACGTTATTTTTTTATCTTGTGGACATCGTAGTTACGATTACTACATAGATCAAAAGTCCAGGGAGGGAAAAACAAAGGGTCCAACCTGGTGAACTTGAGCCTCAATCTCTTCAGTAGCCTTGAGCAGCTCCACAGCTGTTTTCAATCGCATTCGATGGCTGTAACTAATTACATTGTAATCGCACTGAAACAAACAAAAAAAGGAACACCAGTCAGCAAACGAGCTACAAATCTACGCTTCTTTCAGTAGAAAATGAAGGGTAGAGGTCAGATTTCACACCATTTTCCGTTTCACCGGGTCCCTGAAAGCAAGCTCTGCTAAATCATTCTCTGGCATAAGCTTTGCCTTGGGTAGGAGGCTAGCCATGCAGGTCAGTACCTTCAAAACTGGTGCCGGAGGCTTGAGTTCATCTGAGATCTTCGCAACAACTCACGGTTAGCTAATAATTAAATGTTATAACAAGGAACTTTTCCGTCAAGAAAGATGCAGACCATACACATCAGAGCCAACGTGTATGACAAGGTAAGGTAAATGCATTTCTCTACCATGTCAGACTAACATTCAGGTCCAAATATTGGTATATAATGTGATACTTTGTCGCTTCGTACATCAGATAAAGAGTGTTCACAGCTAAAACAGGAATGCTTGTGATAGTAAATGGAAGCCAGAAGATCGTAATAGGCGTTAAACAAGTAGTCAGGACACAACTTTGAATGGTTAGTAACTGCGAGTATCCCATGCACATAACTTCCAAGATGCAAAATAAATGAAGACTCTAAATAGCCTTGTGGCGGGTGGGCTGGTTCTAAAGAAGCCTAATTGATGCAAACTAAGTTGCTTACCTTAAAGTTCCATAGAGCAACAAACATAGTTCATGAGTCTTAATTGTACTACAATATGCCACAAGAACCAAAGGTAAGTTTTAATTATTGCTCACTTGGTTCAGTTGCTTAGAAAAGAAGAAGACTGCTTCATGAAGCCGATTTAAGATGAAGTAGAATTGCAAATAGATAAGAATGAAAGAGCTTACTCTACACATGGGGGCAACAAGGATGACACCATCCCATTCACTTGGATCCTTCAGATGGAGTTTGATAGTAACAGCACCACCCATGGACTGTCCCAATATGAAGCTGGGCAAACCTCTCACCTCAGGTCTTCCTGCCAATAACCAACTATGGAGCCATCACAATTGAAGAAGGAATAACCGAGAAACATTTATTATGATCCACACTATGCAAAAGGGAAAAAGTCGGAACCTTTGATCTTAGCAAACATTTCATAGGCATTGTCTACTAAGTCATCAAAGTTCTGAATGTAACCATGCAATCCTTCAGAGAGTCCAAAACCTGGGTGATCCACGGCATAGACAGCATACCCCGAAGAAGCGATCTGGCTTGCAATACCTGTCATTCATTGAACACCATCAGTATTGCAGCAGCTCAAATTATACCTCATTAACCTCAGTGCGAGAGACGGACCTTCAAAGAAGAAGGTGCATGTATCACCATAACCATGGCAGAAACACACAGAACCTTTGATTCGAACTCCAGGTTTTGGCATCCAGCTCTTACAAAACACTTCCTGTCCCTTAAAGTTTATCTCATACCACTGCCAAATCCCAGTAACACAACCAATTAAAAACCCATCAATTGAATTGACACAATCCCACTCTGTTGAAATCAGATTCAGTTTATTTCATTCCGTACCTCTTCTGTTCGAATCCCTGGAGGAACCAGCTGCCCATGAAATGAAATCGATTCAGTAAATAACCCACATAGAAGGAGCAAACCCAAATTGAAAAAGAGACAGAATCGAAAAGGGGAATTTGAAAAAAGGGACCTTGTAGAGAGGATGATCGAGCTGCTGCTGTAGATGAGTGAAAGCGGATCGAACCAGCCTCCGGGCGTGAGCGTGGTCCAAGTTTTGCGAAGCAATCGAGTTGAGGTCGAGGGTCGCATCCTCGACGGGCTTCTTCCTCGTCAAGGTTGCAGACACGGTGGCCGGCGGCTGATGGCGAGAAGAAGCTCTGTTCCAAGGCCTTGACAGGAGTTTCGAGAGGGAAGCTTCGGCGTTCCTGGCGAGAGAAGCCATGGATGGATGGATGGATGCGTGAAAGACAGAGCTGGAGAAGGTGGTTGTGAGGAGAAATCGAAGATCCGTTTATGGAGAGAAAATGGACGGAGAAGGGAAAGGGGAGGTGTTGACTGTTGACGGTGGCTTTTGTGTAAGGCACTGACTGAGACTGAGCAATGTGAACGCAGTTGCGCACCCACTGAGTGGGAAGGTTGATGGCGACACCAAGTGGCTGCGCCCACACTTCAACTATTGTTCCCCATTTTCCCCGTTTTCTTTGGTCGCTTGCTCCGTCCGTTGTTAATTTTTTAAGGTTCTATGATAGATGATCCACTCTTCTTATATTGTCTTCTTCTTTGTTATTTTGATTCTTTGATGGTGAAATGTGTTCGTGTTTTCTCCCTTTGAGAGGTTTGTTACAAAGCTGCCGGAAAATACCAAACCTTTTTTAGGCCTTCTTGGCTGGGTCGGGCTTTCGTTTATGGGTTTGATGTGGTTATTGGTTAAAAGGTTGGACTTGTTAATCCACGAGTTGATGTGATGTTCAGATTCTCTGCTCAAATGTCGTGTCGAGAGTCGGTGAGATCGAAATGATAGAAGTAAGGGTCTTTGGTTCGATTTGGAGAAGAATTTAATACCTAAATTCAATTCATATTGAGCGAATTCAATATTAGAATGTGTTCCAATTTTGGATCCCGCTTAAACAGATGGGATGCACTATGAAAATCTTCAACTGTTTTGTAAGAAATTCTCGATATTCAATTAACCAAACATAATGTCTTTATAATCAGCAAAACTTGTGAAAAATAAGAAAATTGATGGTCTAGTCAGCCACACTTCTCAGTTCTCACTCCTCCCAATTGCAAGTCGTGTTGGTCATCGTCAGTGTTGCTCCGTTGCCTCCCCCTTTTCCGGAATTTCTATTTTACATTTTTTCATCTCCTTTGCCAGATCTCTAATTTCATCACCCACAATTCTAATTTTCTGCCTTTGCATCTTCCTCCCCGTCTACTTTCTTTATTATACGCTTAATGGTTCATTCCTTTCTCCTAATTTTTTATTTAATCATACTTTTTGTAACATCTCAAACCTTTTTTCCAACAAATATATTGTTCGCTTTGATTCTAGACTCACACAGTTTCTAGCTTGTGGTGTATATCAAGGTTACTACCGAGAGGTAACTTATCATTACATTGCTCCACATGAACACGTTTAACTTCAGAGTTCTTATAAGAATTCTTCAATTTCACCCCAAAACGTATCTTCTCATTTAAGGTCGGTTTCTTATCTCTCACGTACTTTGTGGATGTGGGATTCGCCTAAAGTGTTACATACACTCCCCCCTCCCCTCCCCAACCCCTCCCCCGGACTCAAAGTCCTCGTTGACCCCACCATCGTTCAAGAGGGACGCAGAGAGGCTCTGATACCACTTGTAACATCTCGAACCTTTTTTCGACGAAAATATTTTCCGCTTTGGGCCTATACCCGCATGATTTTTTCCTTGTTGTGCATAACAAAGTTACTTACCAATAAGTCATCCATCTTGAATTGTTCCACGGTGAGCACGCATAACTTCAAGTTGTTACAATAACTCTTAATTTCACTCAAAAAGCGTCTTGTTAGTTAAGGTTAATTTTTTACTTATAAATAATGGATCTCTCACTTACTTTTTCAATGTGAGATTCGCCTAAAGTGTTACACTCTTTTTCTTATTGTTTTGTTCTTATCTTTCTTTTTTGTGGCTTAAGGTGCAAGATCAAAAAGTTTCTCTCATAGTTTTAGGATGCAAGATTAGAAAAGTTTGTTGTTTTTTTGTGTCTACCGTTCTCTTAAGATGTTGTAATTGAATCTCAAAGTTTTGATTAATCAAACTTATTTGGGAGAAATATCCTCAATTAATTTTGTTTTAGTGCCTTGCCTTCTTATTAATGTCTAAGCTAAAACAAAATATTCTTAATGTCTCACAAACAAGAGCAGTACTAATTAGTATTTAGAGTTCTCATCTCCGTGTCTAGGCTAATTTTCTCTTGACTTTTAAGATATTTTCTTCATTTGCGTTTATTAACTTTGTATTTTGGGGTCATTGCGTAGTGATGAAATGGTAATCACTTGAGGCAGAAAGTATTAGTAGAAATACATTATGAAAAATTATTCCCACAATGTCTCTTCTCACTTACTAATTACTATACACAATTTCATGTATAAACTAACTGAACCATAAATAATATTCTAGGATGTATTTAAGTTTTTATTATTTATCAAATGCATGATATTAAAATGTATATGCAAAAATTATGTTTAATTCAATGCATTGGTGTTTGAAATTTTTAAAAACGACAAGGGAAAAAATATGTGAAATCTACTTTTTGGATAATTATGATATAATATTAATAATTAAAAAGAGTGAAAAAAAGTAAATGCAGAAAACAAATTGATAGTCCACAGGCACCACTTCACAAGAAGCAAGCAAGCCTTTTGGACTACAATAGAAGTTATTGAAACTACTACAAGATTCTCTCATTCTGATCGATGCTTATCAATCAAGATCAACTCAATATTCTGAGGTTCTCTGATGTTATAAAGCCATTAGATCCTTCTTCATAGCACTCAGAACATTGTCCATTCTCGCCATCCTAAAGAAAAACAAGATCAGGGTCACCACCCTAGAACATCCTCTGATGAGTCTTGAAGCAAGAAAGACAACACTAATCCTGCATTTGACAATCAACCCTCGGAGGGAAACGTTTTGGCTTTCATCGTCCTCAGACCTCAGCCAATTTTCAACAAAACTCAATATCTACTTTCTTTGTGGCAGTCAGCTAATGATATACAACCGATGTTGGACAATGGAAACTGTTGTGTCTTATTACTGAAATCACATAGGGTTTATATAGAGTACAAAGACTGACTTCTATAATAACCCTAACACTAATAGGGAAATTACCTAACTTCTACGACTCTAATAAGGAATATAACACTGCTCAATTACATAACAATACTCGTAGTATAACATAATACTACTCGTACTACCCATACTCTAATACCCTCCCCCAAATTGATGGTAATTACTTACCAACAATTTGAAAACAGAAACAAAAACGACACAAATTACTACGAACAATGTGACTGAAAAAAAAAACAATGAAAAACATAACTGCTCCGCCAAATATGCCGATGTCGATGAAGACCATGTCCAATGCCTCGTGAAACGTCGATGGTGATAAGCTGGAGATAACAAAAGGTCTTGCCAAAAGTGTTCTATTCCGTCGAACTAACAGAACCATGTGCTCCGAACAGCATCATGGCGATCAAGATGCTCCAAATAGCATCATCAAAACAGAAACAAAACCACGCGCTCCGAACAGCAACATGGCGACCAAGATGCTCCGAATAGCATCATCGAAACGGAAACAATACCAAAAATGCTCCGAACAGCATTTATCAAATTGAGATATTCCGAACAATATCTCAAACTAAGGTGTTCCGAACAACACCTCCATAACCGAAACAAAGCAATCACAGGGACGAAACCTATGGTTGTACCAAACCGAGACAAACTTGAACGATTCCAGCTGAAATCTTTTCCAATCTCCACCATAACCAACCAATCAAAACTGCATTAAATTACTTCATATCCACCTAACGAAGCAATCCAATCCGAACTGCCACCTGAACTCACGTGCAACCAACCAAAAACCATATCTAGCTTCCAATTCCAATTTCGAACAACAATGACACTCGAACTGGATGGACAGTTCAACGATTCCAAACCCAGATCGATAAATAAACCAAGCTGCAGACTTGAGTTACCAATACCATTGAGCAAAAGCAATTTCGTGCAAACAAAATCCATAAATATAATGCCAAACTTCCCACTTATCATTCACGTAAATAGCTAGCATCATCTCCATACCAGCATCAAGGGTGAAATAAAACCTGAAATTTGGACTTCATAAACACCATGGTGATTAGTGGCAATCTCGGGTAGGTAGGTACCCCATCGACTGTACTACATTGAAGAGATAAAGCGGAGACTCTTTAGAAATTCGGATGTTGACAGAAAACTCAATCGGCGGCGGAGGCGGCAACAATCGACAAAAGACCCTGAACAAGAACGGAAGGGACGCTAGGGGAATTTTTTTTCTTTTTTTTTTTGCTTCCTTCTTTTCTTTTCAATCTACTAAGCTACGAGACAATAACTTGGGAGAGAGGGAGAGATCTGATCAATGTTTGTACATGATCATTCCGGGCGACTGTGCGCTCATGGTGGGCGGCCGGCGGAACACAAGAAGGTTTAGGGCTTTCTGGTTTAGGTTGTTGAACCAGGCTCTGATACCATGTTGGACAATGGAAACTGTTGTGTCTTATTACTGAAATCACATAGGGTTTATATAGAGTACAAAGACTGACTTCTATAATAACCCTAACACTAATAGGGAAATTACCTAACTTCTACGACTCTAATAAGGAATATAACACTGCTCAATTACATAACAATACTCGTAGTATAACATAATACTACTCGTACTACCCATACTCTAATAACCGAGTCGATTTTGAAAGTTATTATCTTGGTGGATGACTCTGTTTCATTAAAAATTCTGGAGTTTCTTTCAAATCACACGTCCAGCAGGAAGCATGTAGTAAAACCGTTGTATACACATTATGTGTGATTCTAAATCCTTCATACCCCTATATTTATAATTTTGTTTAATATGAGATTTCATGTGTAATTGTACTTGCACTTAAACCATCAAAAGTGTAATCAGAAAGATGTTTGCTTGTTAGTTTACATGTAATTGTCAATTTCACTATTTCAATTACATCCAACACAATGACATAAATTTTGTTTGGTTCCGACAACTAAAATTCCTATAACATCAAAATAAGGAATATCTTTTGCTTGTTGAATTTGAAAGATAAATGTTTTAGATAAATCTTTGGATTTGGAATATGAAATGTATATGATAGATTTGTGGCATTTTCAATTTTGTTATTTGCTTGTTGGGTTTTAACGGTTTCGTTTAAAGGATTTATGGGTTTGAAATAGGATTTACCTTATTACTCCTAAAAGGTGAAATGAAAAGAAATAAAGGGCAGAACAACCATTAGACATTGAAGATTTCACTACTTTTCGTAATGGCCTAACCTCTTTTTTTTTTTTTAACTCCAACAATTTTTGTAGGATTTGTAAATTTATGGAACACATAATTTGAAACAAAGAAAACTCCAACTTTACTGGCACTCCGATTTGATATCTAATTTTTTGTAATAAAACCATAAATTGTTACAAATCCATGAATCTTTGAATTTGTGTCCCAACCCAACAAGCAAACAAATTATAACATTCTTTAG